GGGGCACTGGGAGCAAGGTCTAAGTCAGCTCAGGTTTTCACCACATTATTCAGGCCCAGCAGGAAGGGAGGCATCACCACGCCTCCCCTGCCATCTGCTTGGCCATACCACCCTCCATCCTGAGGTCGGGGTTATTTTTAGGCCCTAAGGCGATTAGAGGATTTTTCCATCATGCTGGTGGGGTCCAGCAGCCAGAAATCACAGCTGGCCCCAGGCCAGGGCTGCTGGGAGGGACCCACTGGGTGCCACGGGGCACCCCAGCCCGTGGCTATGGCACAAACCACACGGTATGGCATCTGGTGAACGCCTGTTCCATCGCCCCCACCTCGGAAAGAGATGAGGTGGGGAAAGAGGAAAAAAAAAAATAAAAAAGAAGATTATCTACCACTGCAGGCAGAGCAGCAGCCCAGCACTGCAGGAGCCCTGGGGTAGCACAGCACCCACTGCCTGAGGCTCAACCCTGCACCCACCATGCTGCCACCCCTGAGCCACAGAGGGCAGAGACGGCTCCGCTTGTGTAACCTGCACCCCCCGCAAGTGCCAGCACCTGGCTGCCCCCGCAACTCACACCCACCTGAGTCAATGCAGTAGTCCCGGGGCTCCTGCTTGATGCCCACGGGGGGCTGGAAGCCGTGGCTGGGGGCGCCGGGCAGGTTGGGGCCGCTATGCTCGTAGAGCGGGTCATGGTACTCCTGCTTGAATCCCTGAGCAGGGCGGGGGACAGTGGGGCCAAGGGGCTCTGACAGCTGCCGGTGGTAGACAGGGCGGCTGTCCCCCAGGACCCCGGGCTGCGGTGGGAAGGGGTGGCAGGGCTCAGACAGCTGCCTCTGAAACCTGGGAGGAGGGAGAGGGATGCAGTGTTGCCAAGAGGCAGCAGGCTCCCATCCCAGACCAGGTCCCCAGGGTGGTCTGGGTGGCATCGTGTCCCACCCGCAATGGGCTGGGCTGGTTCCTCAGGAGCACAACCACCATGAGAGCTGATCTTATGGAGACCCAGGGGGGTGCTGGGGAGCCTGTCCCCCTCAAAGCACTGGGGACCCCCCGCTGGAGGAGCAGGACAGCACGTGGGCCATCGCTGCGAAGCAGTACGCGCTTCAGTGATGGCAGCTCTGTGCAGCATCAGGGATATCTGGATCAGATTAGGAAAAGGAAACAAAAAAAAAACCACCCCACAACAGTAAAATCTCTGTAAACAGTAAAAACTTCCCCCAGGGTGGCAGGGCAGAGCCATGGGGCCTGGGGGGATGCTGCACCTGGGTGGGCGCTTACGCAAAGCCAAATCCACTCCGCAGCTCCAGGCAGCCACTAATCCGCCTGCGTGGCTGGGATTAAACCTTGAACTCAGCGGGGAGCACTATTTTAGGCTCCAGGGTGCTGCCACCACCAACTCAAGCACCCACACGGTCTCTGCTGGTGGTGGATAAGGGACCATCTTGAGGGGTCGATACCACATCCTTCGTCCTCTGACACCTTGAAAGGCAATCTCTGATCTCTGCACCCAGCTCCTCTCGGCCAGCCGTGCGCTATTTGGCTTTGTAACTGGAGCCCTCCCAGCTGCCGGGCTGGGATTACTCCATTTCCGAGCCGTGTCCCTCTGCCCTTCCTGAGTGAAACCCAAGCCCCATGCTGGCACGGCACTTCCCAAGGGTTCGTGGCCAGCCCCCCCACATAGCTCGAAGGTCACCTGGAGCCGAGCCCCACTTCACCGGGGAGGGATGCTCGCCCACTGCAGGCACATCCCGAGGGTTTCCATGACCTTCGCTGGCCACCACATCCAGCCCCATGCCCGAAGGGGACACCCCGCTGTTGGTGACACAGCAGCCATCACCACAGCAGAGAGCATCCAGGAGGCTACGAGTAAAGCTGGAGGTCACCTGTGACCTGTGCCATGCTGCCTACCGATAGCACGAGCATACCCAGGCTGAGGGAGGGGACCGGCAAAGCCTCCACAGGCAGGGGACAAAGCCACAGCTTGGAAAGGACGCAGGGCCTCTCCCCTCCACAGCCCCAAAACTAGGATACCAGGCAATGCACAGGGGAGCCAAGGACCAACCCTCAGCCCAGTGGCAGGATGGGGATGCTCGCAGCTCCCAGCCCGGCAGCACTCAGCTCAGACAACAAAGAGCTGTAGCGTGCGGCAAAGCCTCCACAGGCAGGGGACAAAGCCACAGCTTGGAAAGGACGCAGGGCCTCTCCCCTCCACAGCCCCAAAACTAGGATACCAGGCAATGCACAGGGGAGCCAAGGACCAACCCTCAGCCCAGTGGCAGGATGGGGATGCTCGCAGCTCCCAGCCCGGCAGCACTCAGCTCAGACAACAAAGAGCTGTAGCGTGTGGGAGAGAGGAGAGCAGGAGCCCTGACTCAGCACCATCGCCTGCCGCCGCAGGGACAGATGCAGGTGGCAGCCTCTGCCTCCCTCGCCTTTCCTGAGGGGGAGGCAAAGTGTCTGCCTGGTGTCCCTGAAGCTGGGAGGAGCACACCCCCATTCGCAGGGAGCTGCCCCATGGGGAGAAAGAGCCACATGATCCCAGCGGGAAGAGGCAAGTTTTACCACACTGGTTTCCATAGGCCCCCAGGCAGCAACATCTGGCACACGGTCTGTGACCCGAGCAAGGGGATGGGCATCCCCCTTCCCTTCTCACAGCTTGAGGCCACCAATCCATCCCAAGAGGGCCAAAGGAAAGACAAGACACCGCTGCTCGCTTGGGCAGGGGAAGCTTTACCTGTGCTCTGCAGGGTATTGGTTTTCAGACATCATCTTTGGCATGTGCATGGGCGGGTGAGGCGGCTGCGGCACGGCGAACGTCTGCTGCCTCTGCTCCTGCAGCGGGTGCGGGGCCGGGGCTGCCCCATGGGCAGCTGCCTGCACAGCTGGGGCAGGTGGCGGCAGGGTCGATCCCTGGTGCACAGGAGACACCGGCGTGGCGGGTGGCGTTAATGGCTTGAACCCGGCGGGGGGCTTCCTGTCGTAGGCACTGCGGAGGAGAGAGGGGCCAGGGGCTGATGGCAACACCAACGAGGACACCCTGCACAGCAGAGGCTGACAAGCAAGACTAGTCCTGGTGCCGTGATCCGAGGGGTCTGTGGGCAGCAGCCGCCCCTGTGGTACCTACCAGCAGTTGTAGAGGCACTTGTCCCCATAGCCAGCACAGAGAGCCTGCTCATGGCTGCAGGATGACAGCTCTGAGGAAGGGCTGTGCAGCTCCCGCTTGATCTTTGCCGGAGGTGGGGCGTGCAGGACCACTGCAACGAGACGGAGGAGGATACAGGCCCAATTGTGCAGGAGAATGCAATGGGGGACATCACCTCTGGGGAGCACCCACTTGCATGCTCTTCACTCAGGAATCAGGTGCGAAATCACCCCCTCAGGAGGCAATCAAACCATGGTGGGGTGGTGCCCCAGCAGACCCTGACATGTGGGTGGACCAAGCCGGGGTGGCAGGGCTGACTTCTGCAGGGGAGGGCAGAGCTCCCAGGGCTGGGACAGTCTTGTCAGCTGACATCACTCTCAGAGGGGGCAGTCATTCCCCGCTGGGATCCAAGAGGGGAACAGCACATAGAGCAAGGGCAGAGCTCGTCCTGGCTTGACAACAGCCACGGATGAGACATGTGCCTGGGCCGGGCGAAAAGCCCCTCAGCAAGGGGCAACAAGGCTGGGCACTGTAGGCAGCGGCCACTTCCCTGAGCCATGGGGTGAGGAACAAGGGGGCTTGACAGCCTGGAGCTCCGAGAGCCTGTAAGCAGGACACAACAAGCTGCTGGCCCTTGCAGGGGCATATCCAACTCCCAATTAGCGGGCCAGAGAGTCAGCAAACAGCTAAATGGGATCCACCTTCCTCCAGCCAAGGTGCTCCAAGGGGACCAAGTCCTGGGGTCTCACAACTGTATGAGTTCAAGTGGCAACTGTCCCATTAAACCCAAATCCTTCTCAGTGCCCCACCCCCCAAGACCACTCGCTATATATAATTTTAAACCGAGTAATATACACTTAACCTAATTAATTTCTAAAAGCTGGCACTCTAGGAAAGGGAGAGCACCTCAGAGATCTTTACCTAAATAGTGCCTGCAGAGGAGAGCCAAGACGAATCGGAAGTGGAGTATTAGCTTCATGCAAAGTCTAAACACAGCCCAGCTACAGCAAAGGAGCAAATAGCTCCAGGACAACTGTTCACAGCTTGCCAGGTAATTAGTTGCTCCCCTAATTTGTCAAAACCTTTAAAGAGCTGCTGACATCCCTCTCTACCCCCTACCCAGCAAGGGCCCCGGCACAGCTGGTACCAAGGGCATAAACCCCTCCCCAAGGAGGATTTGAAACACAAAGCCCAGCACTGAGCCAGCATAGCCCCCTGCACGCCTTCCACCAGCTCCCAAGCCAGATTTATCATCCTCTTCCTCCTCCCCCCAGTGAGATTCTGCCACTCTCAGCATTTCCAGCCTTAACAGGGGGCCGACACAGCGTCGGCAAAGCCTGGGCGCCCCGTGAGCTGCAGGAAATAGAAGGCAAACTGGTTTTGGAAGGGCTCCAGCTGCCTATTGCAGGCATGTTTCTCCCTAACAGACTCCGTGTTGTTGGAGCGGGTTGTTTTTCTGCTGCCAGTCGTACAATGGGGTCTGGTTATTCATTGAGGAAAAAAAAAAAAGTCTCTGAGCAGGCACCACCCTCCATTCACAAACAATTTGGAGTGCTCCATTCATGTGGCTGGGGTTGGGGAAG